GAGGAACGCCACTCGTCACCGATAGCTTAAGGAGTTCCGTGCTAACAGGGAGGGGGGCTACAGCTCCCGTTGAGCGGGCTTCCATTTACACATACTAATGAGCAGAAAGCACAGCCCCCGAGTGGCTGTTTTCAGGTGTGGAGACACCTGCGGCTCTGTACGTCTCACACACCCACACAGAGTAAAAAAAAAGTTAGGCGCAGTGCTGCCCTCAGAAAAAACCCTGCCCAGTCTTACTCCCACTAAAGCCACGGAATTTGTCACTGTTCTCTTTGGACTCAAGACCAGGCCATGCCTGTTTCCAGAACTTAGGCTCAGAAAAGTACCTCTTCGTTGAAGTTTGAAATCTGAAACCTGCTGGTGCAGACGTGACCATGCCGCTGGCGGTACCCTGAATGAATACAGCATTCTGTCTACAGTGTCACGCTGAATGAATTACTGGTGTCCAAAGAAATGAACACCAGTGTCCAAAGAAGCAAGTCATCATCACTGACTAAGGTTGTTCAGGCCAGGAAAAAATTGTGTAAATTCAATTCCAATGCAAATAGTTTTTTCTAACCGAATACTAGTTTATTTCTACATTGCGTTCCTATTTTCCTCCTCTGAATTTACCTGAAGGATGTTGACAAGGATCATGGAGTTGGTTACTTGACCATACAGCTCCTGTTGTTTAGCAGCATAAGAAAGGTTAATTAGAGTCCAGGCTACAATACCAGGGCGCCCGTTGAAGAACAGCTTGAAATCAAACCACTTTCCTATTCGAGGGTTAAATTCAATACCCATCATGTAGTCATAAAAGAAGTTGCCAGTGAATTTGCTGGAAAACATAAAAAATTAGAAATGTATGTAGTTATACACAAGTATGGGTAATTCCTACTCTGACTATACATTTTAGATTTACCTGATGTAATGATAACAAAAATCATAAAACCATATCGTGTTGCGCAAGGTAACACAAAATTGATCCAACCAAAGCATTACATTAGTAGAGAGGAGTTTTAGCTCAGAGGTACCCTAGATTATCCTTGGTAACACTTTTGAACAGCTCAACTACAACCTTACATCCATCCTATTTGTGACAGCTAAGTATCTGTGACACCGAGGCTGCCAGTCGCACGACACAGCGTGCAACAGGATGGTGCTAACAAAGCAAGGAACCAGTCATACACTGGCCTGTCTATCTGCGTCAGCAAAAAACATTCTGCCCTTATTATTCTGTGCAGCATTCAATTTAGATGTCTGATTACCTCGTCTTCTCTCATTATTAAAACCCACATACCAGTCTTTGGCATTGGTAGGGAAAAAGTAGCTTTTAATCATTGCAAATGTGGAAACTGCATATCCCAGGACATTGGCACACCACAGGAGAGGAATCCAGTTGTCAAAAATGATGGTGGGTGAGAACCAGTGGAAGTAATAGGCATTTGCAAACCAAAGCACGTGGGTAATGATCCAAGCCTGAAGTCCATTGATTTCATACTTATTCACTATGCCTAAAATAGGAAGAACAAGATTGAATGTTGCCAACATTGCAGCAGTACAGCTTTTATTAATATGGATAAGCACACAACAGCTAGAAGCTCAATCAGGTGCTCATAAAACAGCCTCAATCTCCTCATCCTCCCAATTAAATACCTTGTGGCACTCCTCTGCAAGTTTCAATAGGCTCTGCTGTAACCATCAGGCTTTTTTAGGCTGAATTTTTCTCCTCACTCTCACTTCACAAAACAGTGGATTTGGAAACTCCCCTAAAACCGACTAAGGCAATAAGTTACCCTTTCTCACACTGAGTTCACATGACACATTTTGTTCAAGTCTCTTGGGCTAACTTACCTTCAGCAGCTGCAACTGCACTGACAAATACTAGCGATAGTCCACTGACTTGATTTTAAGCACCAAAATTATCAGTCTGGTATTTTCCGTTACTGGCTTGGTGCCTGCCATATCAACAGTTTTACTGAGAGCAACAGACAGAAATTCTATCACTTATTCTAAAAGATGACATGGTTTCTTATTTTTCTTTGAAGTAAACATGAGAGGAAGGCGAAAGCATTTACGTCCACATTTCCTCCAGATACATATGGGTTAAAGACTGTAACTACACAAAATCCAATAATTTTTAAAGACAGTGTGCATACATTCTAAGGAAGAACGTACCAGCAGGGGTGACAGCACCTTCTTGTACACCTCCTGCATATCCAGGAAGAAATTTATGGCAGAAGTCAGGAATGAACAGGTACAAAATCACCTAGAAGAGGCAGAATGCATTAACAGCAAAACCAGACAATACAAAGCCCCCCAAACCACTATCCCTTTCATACACATAGCAAATGTAACCCACGGCAGTTTCAGTTAAAAATTGGATAAGAAAACGTGGCAAGATTTAGCTGTTGTGATTTTAGACTAGTAATACATCCAAGCTACCAAACAATTCTAAAGATGTACTTCATGTATGGTTGTCATCCTTTTTTGGTGGGGAGGCAGGACAGTTGTTAACCAGATTCAGGTCCTTATCCCTTTATTTTCAACTTCATCTGTGTTCCACATTAATTTGTTTTCCAGTTTGGAGAAAAACTGGAGTAGTTGGATAAGTTTGAAGATATTTTGCAAATGGCAGTTATTTTTCATAAATGTCAATTTTCTTCCACTGTCTATGCAAAATATCAGCCCTTCGGCAGTGTTAGTTTATGACATATTTATTGTGTATTAATTTAGAACAAATGGGTGTTTTTGTTACATAGTTGCTTTTTCTTAAAAACCACTTCAAGGAATGTGCCACTCAAGGAACATTTGTGTATATTCCCTACATATTTATTTTTCGAGTGCATAAGCTTCATTTGGATTCCAGAAAGCCATGGAAAATGAGAAACACCAATGAGTAAAAGCCAGTGCAACATTCCATTATCCGTTGTGTAAAAGAAATAATCAAAACACCTGTTTTAAAAACCAGCTGCTACATCTATGTCCTAACTGGGTAACATACCTGGAAAGCAACCCAAATGGTATAGATGCCAGCAGCCCTATAGGTCAGTGTAGGAGTCTTGTTCCAGATGTCAGACAGATGTTTGTTCCCCGTGAGCAAGTCAATGAGCGGATCAATCAGAGAGCACTGGTACTGGTCACAGGACATGATGAAGTAGTATACAAGGAGTGGTGCAAACATGAGCAGGAAAAGGATGCTTGCCAGGGAAAACCAGTCAACCTCCCTGTAATCCAGAACAGAGCAATTTTTCTTCCCAGCGATCAGTTGGAACAGTGTGGTTTGATTAAGTCAGACCTTCTAGACTAACCAGTTGAAAACTGAAAACATTTTTGGGGCACATACATTTCTTTGGATCAAATAGCTGTAAGAAACTCAGTGTGTTACATACTTTACCACAGTGTTACAGAACTATGAACAGATACTATCTCCCCTCTGAAAGGCAGATTATAATTACAGCCCTCATGTTTTTGACAGCAATCACGGGTGTAACCGGTAGAGTGTTCAGTTGGAAGTGGTAACAGCATCACGACAGTATTATGCATAACTTGGAAACACAGAAAAGACAGACCCTGGCCAGCCAGAAGCTGAGCTTCCTCTACCACACACGGCTTGTAGTAGCAAGCTACATAAACACCCCTGGCTGTTTCCAGCTGCAATACAATACTAGTATTTGCACAAGTCTTTGGGAACAGGGAGATGAGTCACAAATCTTGCTACAGCAAGAGATGAAACCTGGCAATACCACAGATGCCTGTTTTCCAAATCTCAGGAAATATTTTGCTCAGCCCTTGAAAGATCTACAAATTTCACTGATGTTTATGATTTGTTTTTCTTTTTTGCAAGGACTGTGTTTTAACCCAAGCCATCTGTCAAACTCTCTGTCTTAAAAATCTTGAAGAACTCTTCTTTGGCATCTTTTTCTACAGCTCATTACCCATGAGCTTTCAATGGAAGGGCAATGCAACAATCTGTTATTCATAGAGTTAAGTTTAAAAGGCATGTAGCATCTAGAAATGCAAGTATGAACCAATTTGAAACGCAATTACTAATTAGGGTCATCAGCTTCTCTCACCATGCTCTTCCCCACTGGCCTTGAGATGTTTGAGTATCATTTTGGGTGCTTCTGCGGTTTCTTTCTTCAGAAGGTTTTTTGTACTGATGGGCTGCCATGATGTCCTGTATGAAAAAAAAAAATACTCGTGGTACTACTCCAGATGGTTCTCAGTAATTCTTACAGCCCCACAGAAGAGAAACACAGAAGTTATTAGAAACTATTATTTAGCCTTCAGGTTACAAGAAATCTGAGGGAGGAGGGTAGGAAGGAAAAAATATTTCCCAATTACTTATGATCTTATATTCAGCAAAACAGAACCAAAACATTGAGGTCCAAGTAACCCGTTAAGTTCTTGCTAACTGGAACTTTCTTTTAAGGCATACTGTATAATATATGGCTCATTACTGACCTGTGAGATGCAAAGGGAAAAAATGTTTTGCCGTGTTCTGAAAAAACAGTTCTGTAAGTAACTGCCTTTCTTAATTAGAGAAATCCCTACTGTTGTAACATTACCTATACTGGACCTTGGCAGATTACGTGCTTTTCCCCAAGCCCCTTGTTTAATATATGTGAGCTACATCAAAGAAAACAAGACAACAACTAATAATCTCATCTAAATCAGAAATCAGCGGGAATGAAGAACAACATACTAAGCAACACCTAATTGTCTCTGTGGAACATAAGTTATATTTTTCTTTTGCTTTGCCCAAACAATTCTTCTGTCATCATCCCATAATCTGACCATTTGGTAATCACAGAATGGTTTGGGTT